CGCCTCCATCACACTTTTAGAGATATTAGGGCGCGGGGATGCTTGATGGTCTGCGAGTTCACTCACAACTTTTGCGATATGCCATTCGGATCAAGCGATTTGGTGGGCTCTAGTTGTCATAAAATAGCCTTTACTGTATCTATTGTGAACGATACCGTGATGATTATAGCCGTAGGTTTGGAACTGTGTCGTTGTACAGTAGGTTATCTAAATCATAATTGCTTTAAACTCAATTTCATGAAGGCACATTCTCTGAACATATATAATTAAAAAATTTCCGTTTTTTATTATTTTTCTTTTATAGTATAACACGCAGCAACAAGGAATTTTTTCCGCGGAGTTTAATAGCGTAGAAAATTCCTTGGATATCAACAAACCTTGGATTTGGTCCCCATTTTGCCCATTTTGCCCCCAGTATACTGGGCTGAACCGAACTCTTTTCTAGTAAACGACAATTTGCCCCTCAAGTCAACTCAATGAACAAAATAAACAACCACAAATGTGTGTTAAATCACCCACTCAAATTTTGCTCTCCACATTTAATCAGATATGCAATCCACCGTACGTTCTCGTCGAAGGGTTGCTCTTTTGTTTGTACAAAGAAATTGTATAAGAAGTTCTTCTTATCTATAAGCGTAGTTCGGTAATAATATGTTAGACAGACGACTGAGTCCCGATTGTGTTCTACTTTACTCGCCCAAATAGGACCGTTTTACAATGTCTTGGTATTATTTTGAATATATCTGACGCAAATGCTGATCGTCCTTTTCTGGAGAGATTCCGACACCGACTTCACAGGTTTTTTTAAGGCAGAGAAATGTTCATTTGGTTGATATCTAACCTATGTTCACAACAGTCTCCTTTTCTTATTTAGGACCTTTTTGTTTCCGATGTTTTCCACTCGGGTTATACTCAAAACCGAGAATTCCTGACGGTAAACGAACCACGAAACCTTCCAAGTGCAACCGAAGAGTCGTCCCTCCATTTGGTCAGGGAAGTAGCTGCAGATTTTGACGCACCTGCAATAGACTGGGAAAAATTGACAGTTGACTGTGCATCAACAAATGATAGCCAATAATTTTCGCAGTCGACAGCCCTCTGGCACGACGTGTAAGTCATCAAGGATATCTAGGGAGAACCAGAGAGTCCATTGCTTTGACCTAGGCTTACGGCAGGCTTCGCTGTATTGACGAAGTATATTTCAGTACTCTTCTCGGTAGGAGTGACTATACTCCGCTACTATGGCAACATTCGCTCTGTTCTCAATGCTAAAAGAGAATGGAAGGCCATAGAAATCTATGGAAGGCGGATTTGAACATGACGAAGAACCTAGTGATGTCAGTGGATTGGGGGAGGGGGGGTTGTTCAAGGGGATCGTTTAGTTCAATTTTGCAAGATCCAATTCGATGCTGTCGCCCAACGAAGGTCGATTTCATGTAGTGTCTCTTCCCGGTTTACACGAGAATATTACGGACAATAAAGGAACAATATTCAAGGAAATTGGGCCACCAGAATACCTCGAGGAATTTCTTCGCCAATGAAATGTGATTAAACAATGGATCCACCAGGCAAACTTGAATTATGAATTCGGAATTATCCCCTGATAAGAAAAATAAAATTAAAAAATGATAAAAAATCCAAGATCTTATTCGACTTTATTAAGAGTCGACGGAAAATCAAGGACCCAATGTTAATACGTAAGGAGGATAATAGAGTAGAATTCGTTAAACTGATTAGGAGGACGAACGCTTGTGCCGTTACTCTGCCTCGGTGCACTAGGAAACTGAGGTTCCGTTTCACAATGTCAATTATGCTGTTGTTAACACTAGTCCGGTGTTTTTAAATCTATCACTTCCCGGTACCTGTCGTGGAAAGGGAGCAAAAAAGTGTCAACAAAGCAAAGTAAATATATCGGCCAAATTCTTGAGAAAATTTGCGACACTTATCTCCGAAATACTGCAATGTGAATGAAAGAGAGCAAATATCTGCCGGATATAAAAGGTGGAAGTCGAACTACTGCCAGAAATGATCAGCCTGTCAATCTAACCTGTGCGTTCTTTAAAATAATGTAAACAGTGGACAGTGCAGTTCTGATACTAGAACAACTTATTCTCGGAACTTAATCATGGCAGCGTTTAGGGCAGGGTAATTTAGTTCTCCTCATGTAAATGTATAGTATTTTTGGTGTGCTCCAAGAATCTTGCAGTATGTTTAATTTGAACTTTCTTCGCCTCTTAGTGGACTCCCTTTTACTAATTTTGCATTGCTGTTTATATTTCCATAAGTGCTCTTTGGAGCTAGCCTGTCTGTAAGGCCTCCATAAGCGATTCCTTTTTAATGAGGTCCTTAAGTTCGATTTAATCAACCTTGGGCGGTTTTTGATTGTCTTTCTTCTGGGAAGACAGTTGAGGTAAACATTAACGTTCATTAACGAACTGAAATTCCTCTAGTGGTTGTTTACTCCATCATGCAGTTCTGTTCTCCAGGATACCTCTGACATTTATCTTCTCATAGATGGTTAGTCTCCCTTCGCTCTCGCTCATCTACCATGCAACTTTGGTTTGGAAAACAGTGTGTACTCGAAGTACGGTGCAAGATACTAAGGGCAAGTTTATCAGGTTGCTAATACGTGGCCACCTTCAATCTATACAAGTGAAACAGAACTGGCAACTCTGCAGTAACCACAGGGCATCTTGCTACTCAACATTACGGGGAACAGCTTCGCTCGTATTCTTCCCAGTCATCTTTATAATCACCTAGAATAGGGACTGCTCTGAGAAAGGTAATATGGCTTCCGACGACTCCGCGGAACAACCGACGTTATCTTTGCCGCTCGACTGCTACAATAAAAGTGTCATTAGACGCGAACCTATTTCTGAAATACTTTTGTAGATCTGACGAAAGAATTCGACAGACTGAATCTCGATCGAGTGTAAAAAATAATGAAGCAATTTGGTTGTGCTGAACGCCATGCTGGAATCATGGCGCACGTTATTGACAACGGAACGGCTTCCAAAGCATTCGCATCCGCCAACGACGTGAGACAGGACTATGTGCTCGTTCTCACCATCTTCAGGCTCATATTCCCTGCCAAACTGATGGATACCAATCGTTATGCCTGTCCTGGAATCCGCCTTACCTATAAGACTGATGGGCATCTTTTCAAGAGCCGGCACATGCGAACTCCAAAGCCTAGATCCCTGAATACTGTTCCTGACTTTCTCTTCGTCAAATACTGCATCTGAACGCCGCAACAGACCAGGATATGAAGGTATGAATGGATATTTTTGTCCCCGAGTGGCGCCAGTTTCGGAATGACAATCCATCTAGACAAAACATTGGTCATGCACCAGCTGTCATTCGACACGAAATATAGTATCCAGCAAATCAATGTCAACAGTGCGCAACTGAAAACCATGGAAATTTTGCTTATCTAGGAAGCATACTCCCGTGCAGGCGACGGCGCAGTTGCGCATCGAATCTCCAAAGCCAGCCCGAACTTCGGTCGCCTGCAAGTCTCAGGGTGGAAACATCACAGCCGTCACCTTAACATCAAACAAGTGATGCAAAACGTAGTCGTCCTGACGTAACTCCTATGTGCTGTAAACACCTGGCTGTTTATTATAACCAAGCCGAAAAACTGAAGCATTTCCATCTCAGCTGTCTCCGGAGCATGCTGAAGCTAAGACGGTAGGAGAGGATCCGGAAACGGAGGTCTTGGAACGGCGCGGAATCCTCTTCACCCCTTTCATGCTAAGGTAGCTGCAACTGCGATGGAGTGGCCATGTCGTCAGGAGGAAAGACGAGCGAATAACAAAACGACTCTTCCACAATGTCAGCAAACCAACCTGGAGATCTGAAAGGACCTTTTCCGCCACCGAC